TGAAGTTTCTTGAATGTGGCCTTATTTGATTACAGCTAAATTAATATGGTCTTCCAACATGAAAAGTTTCCCCACCCCTGTTATATCCATTTAAAGATGGCACTTAGATTTCATGGTATTGAATGTGTAAAGTTCTAAAAGGAACAGGATGGGCCCGTAGGACTATTTTCCTGAGTTGTTGGACCAAGGGTATTTCTAATGTTCAAATTTAAAAATAAAAATTTAGAAACTCAAAATTGGCCATGTACTTAACTACCAGAGTCCTGGTTTTCCTGAGCACTCCCAGAGATGTGGGAACAAAACAGCTCAGTTTTTAATAAAATGTCTGAAAATGGGTGGGGTAGAGCCCATATCGGGCAGTAGTTAAGAACGTGGAGTCTTGAGTCAACTCGTCTGGGTTCAAATCCTGATAGTACTGTTTATTAACCGTATGACTTATGCAAATATTTAACTTCTCTGTGTCTCAGATTATTCACATGTAAAATGGAAAATAAATATTCTGATAGTACAATGAAAGGCTATTGTAAGGATTAAATGAGATAGTATCTTTTAACCCTAGTATGTAGTAGTCCCTCAATATGTGCTAACCATGATAGTTTTTGTGTTCCAATGTAATAATTCTACCTCTGCCTAGACCCGTAGGGAATTCATTCAGGACTGCGTATTTGCAGAGAGGTCGTGCTTGCCACTGTGTTTAAATTCCAGCCACGGGACTCAATCGTGTGGATGAGCTGCAGTCCCTTGGAGCCTTCAGGCTTGGTTCTGGTCCAACGGCCCTCAGGTAAACACAGTATTTTCCTTGGTAGTTGCTCTGGAGAGAATGCAGTTTAGAACTCACCAGGCTATAAACATTGTGGAAGCAGGTCTAGGTTTCTCTTTATGGAAGTACATGTACCGTCTTGATATTCTTATTATTTGAAAAAGTAAAAGTAGCTGTTTTCCCGTAGGAGGGAAAAAACATTTTTGCTAAGTGAAGTGAAAAATTGACTACTCTCTGCTTCTTCCCACAGGATCTATAAATATGCTGAGGCCGTTTATTTTGCCAGATGGGTTTTGAGACCATGCTGAAATGAGAGATGCCCTCATTTATATTTCCCTCAAATTCTACCACAAACCACACTTGGGAGGAAAAAAAAAAAATCTCCATGTAAGCATGTTTACCTTCAACTGACTAGGAAGTCGAAACGTATCCATAAGTGATGACTCACCATTTCGGGTCTATAAAAGCAAAGGTACTTGTCCGTGGAAGGGCAGCAGCCTCCAGGCACAGCCAGTCAAGATGCACCCAGGTGTCCTGGTTGCCTTCCTCTTCTTGAGCTGGACTCATTGTCGGTCCCTGCCCCTTCCTAATGGTGATGATGATGATTTGTCCGAGGAAGACCTCCAGTTTGCAGAGGTAGAGTATCTTGCCTGTCCTGATGATGTGGTGCATCTCATAGAGTCCCTTCTTTTTTAAAAGCAGGTCATTTTGGTGTCTTTTGTAGCGCTACCTGAAATCCTACTACCATCCTCCGAATCTCGCGGGAATCCTGAGGAAGACTTCGGCAAGTTCCATGGTTGACAGGCTTCGAGAAATGCAGTCTTTTTTTGGCTTGGAAGTGACTGGCAAACTGGACGATAACACCTTAGATATCATGAAAAAACCAAGATGCGGGGTCCCTGATGTGGGTGAATACAATGTTTTCCCTCGAACTCTCAAATGGACCCAAACAAATTTAACCTACAGGTAAATCACAGGCTATATTTCTTTAATGTGTGTTGGTTTTTTTCCTTACAGTATTAAATGTCTGATATTAATTAGGCCTTAAATATTTAATTGGAAGTTAAGTAAGTTCAGGAATAGCTTTAATACTGTTGCTGAAAATGTCTCATAACATCTATAATTGTTATGTTAACCCAGCATTATTTTTCGGTGGACATCTCAAAATACTTCTTTTAGAAATGAAACCAAAATGTAAGTAAAAGTAGGTTCAAGAGAAGTTGCAAATGTAGTACAGCAGTGTATTTATCACAGCAGTGCTAAAGATGGAGAGTTTACTCTTTCTAAGAACTTTACAGAGGTATTTCATTTATTTGGGCTATATCAATATAATTCCAAACTTTTAGCATGCAAAATAAATTATGTTAAACATCTGAATATTTTAAATTTAAGATGCCACATAATCAGATTTTTCTAGATACTCAAATTTCTGATTGAATTCTTGATTTTTTGTTCTTGTATGGCATCATAATTAATACAAACCATTGCATTTTGAGTTGAACAGCAATGTTCCAAGAAAATATATTCTAAAATAGTTTTTACCTTCCAAAAATCTAATTGAAGTTTTCTATGTTGAATAGAATTGTGAATTACACCCCTGATATGACTCATTCTGAAGTTGAAAAGGCATTTAAAAAAGCCTTCAAAGTTTGGTCCGATGTGACACCTCTGAATTTTACCAGACTTCATGATGGCACTGCTGATATCATGATCTCTTTTGGAACTAAAGGTAAAGACGTTTAAAAAACATTTTTACGTTCTAATTCATAATTGGTTCCATTTTTAAATATTCAACCAAAAGTCACCAGACACCTGGGCTTGTTATTACCTGGTATGATCAGATTCCTAACTCTTGCTTTTGTGTGTAGAGCATGGTGACTTCTACCCATTTGATGGACCCTCTGGTCTGCTGGCTCACGCTTTTCCTCCTGGACCAAATTTTGGAGGAGACGCCCATTTTGATGATGATGAAACCTGGACAAGTAGTTCCAAAGGTAATATTTCTTATAAAGATACAATTTCATTGATTGTTAAATCAGACAGTGAACCCACTGGTACAAAGTTAAGAAGCATAAAAGTGAATTATATTTGCTATTTGATTATATTTTCTAAAAAAATTAAAAGTTTATCTCATACTTAGTATTTCTACAAATCAATGTTAAAACTGAACAAAATCTACTTAATTTATCATTGTGGCTTGCAGGATATTAACTAACTTTGAAGTAGGACCAAAATGTCTTGTCTGTCAGACATGATAATGTTACTGTGCATTTATCTTTTGGCATGTTGAAGAAGTATAATTTATTTTAAGTGTATATCTAAAAACTATTAGGGCAGAATCTATGAGTTATAAATGAATTGGATGTGAATCAAAATAGTTTTTTTCTTGGTAGAAATATTAATGTCGTAAGTTCAGTCAAATTTCTGCTCCCCATTATATGAGTGACTTGTTTTAGACTTGTCTATATTACTCATTTTATAAATACCACTCTGAGAAACCAAGATAGTGTCTTATTTCAAACAATATGAGACAGACAAGATGAAGGTTGTATTTATAAGAGCAAAATAAAACTGAATGTTGAATGGATTCAGTTAGTAGGTGAATCTTCAAGGCTCAAAGTAATTGGGAATGTTAATTTAGGAAGAAAAGCTATAGATTGTTCCCATTAGGGCTTGCTTAGTCATGACAACCAAAGTAGTCTTCATATATAGTTGATTATTATTATTCATTTAAATAAAAAGGATTATTTTTCCAAAGAATAAGACTGGGCCTTAAAAGATCAATACCTCAACTCCAATGTCCCCAATCTGTCTTTGAGGAAAGGTGATAATTTACATATTTATGTTCTTGAGTAGTATTTCACAAGTAAGGATGGTTTTAGGAAGAAAGAATAACATCTAGTATTGTTAAGAGATAGTCACAGTAAGCCTCAGATTTATGTTCCTATATAAATTCTGAGTTTGAAAAATTTAATCAAAATGAAATAAAACATCCACAAACAAATATGGATTCACTTTAGAGCTGAATGTTCAGAGTGACATCCATTACTAGTCATTCCAGTGAAGAATTAGTTATCACTCAGATTATGTGACCCGATTGCCCTTACGAACTGCAGATTTGCTAAACTGGTTGTTCGTTTTCTTTATGCACAGGCTATGATAGGAAAGGGTATTTAGAGTCAAGCTTAAACCACCAGGTTCAGCTTTCATGTATTCTAAGAAGAAGTAATAGCAATCCCTACTGCCTTGTACCTGTGGTCCCCAACCCCTGGGCCACAGACTGGTACCGGTCTGTGATCTGTTAGGAACCGGGCCACACAGCAGGAGGGGAACAGTGGGCAGGAAAGCGAGCGAACCTTCATCTGTACTTCCAGCTGCTCCCCATCGCTTGCTTCACCAGCTGAGCTCCACTCCTGTCAGATCAGTGGCAGCATTAGATTCTCACAGGAGCGTGAACCCTACTGTAAACTGGGCATGAAAGGGATCTAGGTTGCACGCTTCTTATGAAAATCTAATGCCTGATGATCTGAGGTGGAGCTGAGGTGGTGATGCTTGTGCTGGGGAGTGGCTGCAAATACAGATTATCAATAGTAGAGAGGTTTGACTGAACAATAAATGTAATGTGTTTGAATCATCCCAAAATCACCCCCCTCCCTGGTCCGTGGAAAAATTGTTTTCCATGAAACTGGTCCCTGATGCCCAAAATGTTGGAGACCACTGCCTTATGCATTCTATTTTTCTTTCTTTTAGTCTTTTATCATCTTTTTTTTCTAACTTAAAATACTAGTACTAGGAGTCTAAAAACTGTTGGAGAGACTGACTAGAGGAAACAATGTAAACAGTGACATAGTGGTCTTCTAGAGTAGAGGAAACATGGTTAATCACCTCCAGAGTTTCTGTTTTTCTAAACTCTAGAGGTGTTCTGGAAAGAATAATTTGGTTGGAATTTGTTCCCAAGTGTATACCCAGACACCCTTTTTAGTGTATCCTTCATGCTTGGTCGTCATCCCTTTGGTTGCTGGTTCCTGTTTGGATGATGTTGTGTGCAGCACTCCAGCTATGTACCACCCTGTGTGATTTCCCTGCTCTTCATTTAAGGTCATTTCTGTCTGCTTTCCTCATCTGACATGACAATACAAAGAGCAAATCAGGATTTCTAGTGTCTTCACAGTAATCCTTAATAATTACTAATTATATGAGAGCAATGTGTTGACATTCTAATTATGTAGGTAGCTATCATCAAGAGAACACTAAGTTATTTATAAGAATTAAATCAATTCTTTGACTCTTCATGCAATTGAATATTAATTTTAAAAAGTAAGATAGTGAAGAAAGAGAAGATAATCAAGAAGGAAACATACCAAATATGAAGGAAATAACATCTCTTCCATTATGTCTTGTTTTCTCATTGTTTCTCTGTTTCCTTCCAGGCTACAACTTGTTTCTTGTTGCTGCCCATGAGTTTGGCCACTCCTTAGGTCTTGATCACTCCAAGGACCCGGGTGCACTCATGTTTCCCATCTACACCTACACTGGCAAAAGCCACTTTGTGCTTCCAGATGATGATGTACAAGGAATCCAGTCTCTCTATGGTAACTCTTAATATATCAATTATAAAAGCCGTTACATAAGCAGAATAGGTACATACATTTATTTTTTAAATTGTAGTCATGTGCCTCATATCAACATTTTGGTCAATGACAAACCTGCATATGCAACAATGATCCCACAAGATTATAATACCGTATTTTTACTGTACCTTTTCTATGTTTATATATATTTAAATAAACAAATACTTACAATTGTGCTACAGTTACCTACAGTATTCAGTATAGTAACATGATAGACAGGTTTATAGTATAGGAGCAATAGGCTACCCTGTATAGCCTAGGTGTGTAGTGGGCTATGCTATCTAAGTTTGTGTACATACACTCTGATGTTTGATGATGAAATTGCCTAATGACATATTTCTTAGAACTTATCCCTGTTATTAAGTGATGCATGACTGTACTCCTTGAATTTACCACTGCCAGTACTGCTTTCCTGGTTGTGTTATTAAAACCTGGGAAAACATAGCCACTTTTACCCCAAATCAAACTACTTGCTCGAGTAGAAATATTCCATTCTCCAAACTTTTTGCAGAATATAGCTCCTTGTATTTGTATTTTATACATTGTAAGGTGTATTTCATATCCTTAAAACACCTCTGCAATAAGAAAGGAAAACATTTCACTCCCTGTTTAACCAGTGAAGAAACTAAGCCCTGTAGAGTTTAAATAGGTACCTATAGTAACACAGCTGATGGTGAACGTGAGATCTTAACCGGCTCTTACGAATTCTGGGTATTCTTTCAATCATTCCAGTTTGCCACAGTAGAAACCACTCATGTGGTCTGCGGTAGTTTTTAATCAACATCTACAGTGACCATTGTAAGAAATTCTTCCTTTTTTCCCAAATTTTTAAT